GGTTGGCGTTCCTGCTTGAGAACTATCCCTTGCAATCGGATACTACTGAAAACATCCAGCCTGATCTTGAGCAATCGAGGGATACCCTTCGCTCGTTCCAGGAGTATATCATTGCGGCACAGCCAGGTCAATGGGCATCCATGGATGGTGTCGATTGGCTTACACAGAACAGTGGGTGGCTCGCTCCGGAGTGGATTCAGTGGTCGTGGATTGTGGCAAGCTCGGAAATGGTTATGCTACCACTTGAGCCATTGCAGATTCTGAAGATGGATGGCCCTCTGCGCTTGAACAAACAACCTGTTCTCTATATCCCGCAGGAGCAGTAGAAATGATAGATTACAAAATCGAAGCGCATAGACATTTGTGTCCTCTACTCTTGATCATCCTGAAACGTAAAATGCAAAATAATAGGGGTGTGAATGATTTCAATTGCAGTGCCATCATAGGCCCCTGCTTAGTTTTATACTCCAAAGGGGTTAGCGTATACCCAAATAAGGTAAGTTTATGCCTGATTTACCGGGCGCACATACCGTCATCAACGAATCGGGAGCCACTGACTCAGCACAGATCACGTGCGGGGTTAGCACCCAATTAGATCTTGCGTAAAGGCGGATCATTCAGCAAGCGCAGGAATTGCCGTGAGCTCCACGACTCCCTTCCCTCTCCCTCCACGACCTTTGACCCTCACCACGAATTGTCAATTCCCGCCGTCATCATGATATCTCGAGCGGCGGCTCCCTCCACCTCCTCCCTCTCCCACCTCTCGACCCGCTCCCTCCGCGCCCAGGGAGCGGCCGCCCGCTCCTTCGCAACCGTATCGGAAGCACCCCCCGTGAAGCACTATGGTGGACTCCAGGACCAAGATCGGATCTTCACCAACTTGTACGGACACCATGGAACGGATCTGAAGTCAGCAATGAAGTATGGTGACTGGTACCGGACCAAGGATATGGTGCTGAAGGGTGATGATTGGGTGGGTTGTCGCACAATTGACCGACTGGGAAATATCAATTGCTAATTATCCGCATAGCTCATCTCTGAGATCAAGGCGTCTGGCCTCCGTGGCCGTGGTGGTGCTGGTTTCCCCTCAGGATTGAAATACGTAAGTGGCATGTCCGCGATTTGGCGAAACGCGAGTGGTGTTTGGGTTCAACCGGGCTAACCCGCTATTCGACAGTCTTTCATGAACTTCAAGGATTGGGACAAGGACCCTCGCCCCCGTTATCTGGTCGTCAATGCTGATGAGGGTGAGCCTGGTACCTGCAAGGACCGAGAAATCATGCGCAAGGACCCCCAGAAGCTGATCGAGGGTTGCTTGGTGGTGGGCCGTGCCATGAACGCCAACGCCGCCTACATTTACATTCGTGGTGAGTTCTATCACGAAGCCACCGTCCTCCAGCGGGCTATCAATGAGGCCTACGAGGCTGGCCTGATCGGCAAGAACGCGTGCGGTACCGGATACGACTTCGACGTGTACATTCACCGCGGAATGGGCGCCTACATTTGTGGTGAGGAGACCTCCCTCATTGAGTCCATTGAAGGCAAGGCCGGCAAGCCCCGTCTCAAGCCTCCATTCCCCGCTGCGGTCGGTCTGTTCGGTTGCCCCAGCACAGTCACCAACGTGGAGACCGTTGCAGTCACACCCACAATCATGCGCCGTGGTGCCAACTGGTTCTCTTCCTTCGGCCGTGAGCGTAACGCCGGTACCAAGTTGTTCTGTATCTCCGGTCACGTCAACAACCCCGTCACAGTTGAGGAGGAGATGTCCATCTCCCTGCGCGACCTGATCGAGAAGCACTGTGGAGGTGTCCGTGGTGGCTGGGACAACCTTCTCGCCGTCATCCCCGGTGGTTCCTCGACCCCCGTGATCCCCAAGTCCGTTGCCGACAACCAGCTCATGGACTTCGACGCCCTTAAGGACTCCCAGACCGGTCTCGGTACAGCTGCCGTCATCGTAATGGACAAGTCCACAGATATCGTCCGCGCCATCTCCCGTCTGTCAACCTTCTACAAGCACGAGTCCTGTGGTCAGTGCACTCCCTGCCGTGAGGGCAGCAAGTGGACCATGCAGATGATGCAGCGTCTCGAGACCGGTAACGCCCGCGAGCGTGAGATCGACATGCTCCAGGAGCTCACCAAGCAGGTCGAGGGTCACACCATTTGCGCTCTGGGTGAGGCCTTTGCCTGGCCCATCCAGGGTCTGATCCGCCACTTCCGTCCCGAGTTGGAGGCTCGCATCCGCGAGTACCAGAAGGAGCTTGGCGCTGCCCCCTACGCCGGTGGCTGGCACCCCAACAGCCGTGCCGAGGGCAAGCTGATCTCCCCTGGCATGTAAACGCACCACACACCTCTTTCCTTGTCCCTCTTCACATCTTTTCCCTTTTTTGTCATCCCAAAAAGAAGCAGGAACTGGTCCCGGGATGATTCCTACATTCTAGACCTCACTTTATATTTCCCCCTCTCCGGCCGGTAATGTCTTTTTCTGTTTCTCCGTCTAGTCCGGCTGGGGAGGGTGGTGTTTCTCTTTTCTTTACTCTGCTCGATCCCCTCGTGTTCTCCTGTCGCGTCTAGGTTTCTCTTTCTCTTGTACAGTCGGTAGCAAATTTGATGCATTTGATGTCTTCATTCGTGTTGCGTAACGTACACTTTTTCCCCCTCTGGTAACATGCTCATCTTCCTCTTTCACAGTAATTGTTGAATACAAAGGCACAGCAACAAGACAATGCTCTTCCACCTCTCGCTTCACTAATTCGGGCGAGTCTCAGTATCTGCAACAGTGTCCGTCTGAGGATCAAGAGCGACTTCCTGGACATGGTTGTCCTTTCCAGCATTCTGCGGTTCAATGGTCTTATCTTCGATCGGGAGATCACCAGCCTCTGCCGCCTCTTTCTCTCTTTTCTTCCGCTCAACCTTGAGCAATCTCTTCTCCCTCCACCCCATCCCAAACACGCACTCAACCCAGAGCAAGAACAGCCCAGCAGCCATAACTAATCCCAGGAAGGCAAAGCACCAGCCCCATCCCATTCCACTAAGCATCTGGTTGATGATTGCAGCCCCAACAGCACCCAGACAGCAACGAACAAGATTGCATGCAGCCGCAGCCGTGGCAGGTCTGTCTGGGAAGAGATCGACGAGAAGCGTATTCAGGCAGTTCAGGGATGCAACAAAGCAGAAGCCAACGATGAATTGCAACACGAGTGGTACGGCCAAGTGTACTCTCTGTTGCAAGACCCAGCCGTATGGGATAAAAGCTGCTATGCCGACGGCCATGACCGGAAATACTGTTTGAAGACGGGCGCGCTCAATTGGGAAGTTGCGGAGGCTGTCGCCTTTCTGCCGGTTCGCCGGGAGGCCGGCCTTCTGCGCCGTGCGCTTGTAACTGTAGTCGATTACTTTGCCGTATAGCACTGCGCCGAAGCAAGAGCTTACACCGAAGGGTCTGAGTTGTGTGAAGGTTAGTGAGTTGCGAAACCAACTGGACTGGGGTAAGGGAGACTCACAAGAAGCAGAGACCGATTTGGAGCTCGTTGAATCCGTATAGGGGACCAAACAAGTTTGGAGTACTGGTTAACAGAGCGATATTCGCGAACATCACGGATCCAACGTAAGAGATAATGATGAGGGCGTCCCACTCAAGGAGAATGGCGATTGAATCGAGTGGATTGGGAAACTTCAGCTTCGTTGTCTGCCGGTGCTGTTGTTCAGACTGTTGTTGAGGATCTTCTCCAGCGTGCTGTTCCTCATCTGACCCTTTCTTTAAACGATGTATCCTTCTCGATAACCATTGAAGTACTGACATGCGCCACCACTCAGTTGGTACCTCGCTGCCATTACCAACAATCTTGCGCGCTGTCTCGGGCATAGCAATGACAAAGAAGACCAAATACCCGCCACTGATGACAACCAGGAACCAGAAAACACTTCGCCAGCCGAGGAATTTGGCCAAAAGACCACCGATGACAGGACCCAGTGCCGGCGCTACCATCACACCAGCTGCCATGGGCCCGATGTACTTTCCACGCTCAGCTGTCGTCGCAATATCCGCTATAACGCCGTACCCGAAAGCTACGGTGCCGCTGCTTCCTGCGCTCTGAATACATCTTAGTACCATCAAAGCTGCGAAGCTGTCCTGCAGAGCCAGACCAATGTTAGCGGCGGTATAGACAGCGAAGGCGATAATATAAGCTGGACGTCTTCCTCCCGTATCGGCAAAGGTGCCCATGAAGGCTGGGGCCAGACCTTGGAGGATCATGTATGTTGTGATTGTAAGATTGATCAGCGCGGGAGTGAGTTGGTAGTTCTTTACCAATGTCGGCATGACGGGGTAGTAGATCTGGCCAGAGAGAGGGGAGAAAAATGATGCCAGCGAAACCATTATCACAATGAACAGCTTCTGGCGCTTGGTGAAGGCAGAGAATAGGGGCTGAGGCGCTTCAGGTGCTGGTGCCACCTCTGTTGTCTCTAGTTGTGCTTCTGGGACGAATTCAGCCGACGGTTCATGGGCGTCATTGTTATTGGGAAGAGTGCTTGTGGCGGCCATTGGCTCTTTGTTCTCGCCATTGTCATTGGTACTTGGCATGCCATGACTCTCCAAGGCTGATTCATGGATAGAATCTGTCTCGGCTTTCGTCGAATCCTCTTGACTTGCCTCGGCGATCCGCTCCAGTGCCATCTGTCTCGAGGTCATTGGGAAGAATTGGTGAACGAAAGGGTGTATTAAAATGTCAATAACTGACGAGGTTTAGATCATAGAAGGGAAAGGTGCAAAATAGAGAAGGAAAAGAGAGGAAGAAATCGAGGAAAGAAAAGAGAAGTCCAGGGTCGTTCTTTCCCATGTGCCAACTCCTTGTGCTTCCCCTGGTCAACTTGTGCAACTGTGATCTGATAGACTTGAGAGACATACAATCTACATGGCTAAAGCCCGCCTTTGTCATTGCAAATGTCTATCTCTCTGGCTGTTCAAACAAACTCAACATGGGTCTATACTCCTTCAGATGCTATTACTTGCCCTTGACGGAATTATCATTCTCAATGCACCATTTCAAATGCGCAAAGATCCTCCAGTATACATCTTCAGCAGCAGATTTCCCAACAATAGGATCAAGATGCCCATAACCCTCAGCCAAGAACCGGCGATAAAGCCTCTCTCCAAACCGTCGACGCAGCAACCCATAGTCCTTGAGGGTAGACTTCGGATCGAAGACTTGATTGTCCGTACCTGAGATGAAAAGAATAGGCAACCCTTCTAGCCGTTGCAGATTCTCTTCGATCAAAAGAGAACGCGAGTCATTGTCCATGCAAATCCCCTGGGTCCCCATGCCCACAACATGTTTCATCAGCTTTGTATGGGTACCGGCAAAGAATTGATGGATGTTATCATGAAGGGCTGCGCACAAATTCTCATGATTCCAGAGCAAGCCAAACGCAAAGGAAGTCCGATGACAAGCAGTGGAAGTACACAGATCTCGCGGATGTCCGACAGGATAGAAGCGCAGGAGAATATCAAGCAGTCGTTGGAACAGGACACTCCCAGCATTGCTCATGATTGGAAAATAATTACCCGCGAGGAACTCATATAGCCGGATTAACAGTGTGGTTCTCCCTTTGAGCGAGTTCCAATACCCGAAAACTTGATTCATGAAGACGGAGTTTGCGGTCATGCCGAGAAGGTCGCAGCTGGCGATAGTCCCGTCTAGGAGTCCCATGCAGAGAGCTACCGAGCCTTGACAATGAGCTATCACATAAGGCTTCTGTGGTTCTTTGTCACGGATGTATTTGATGGCGGCTGCAACGTCGAGGCGGCAGTCGAAGATGGTGGCTTCCTGGGCCACGATGGGATCACAGCCCCAGCGAGGAGTGAGTGCGTAGCAGCGGTGTCCACATTGTGTGAAGTAGTCTATCATGTTGCAGTGCAGGAATGGCAATGCGTATAAATTGTGCATTGCGCCGATTCCGGTGACTCCCGGTAAAAGGAGGACCGGGGGAAGGTTGGCATGCCTCGGTTCATGACTTCCTTGTTCAAGAAGTGAATCGTATACCTCGAGCAGAACTGGTACACCATCGTGCGCTTTGATCTTGCAAATTAATGGGGGATTCGGGTTCTTGTTGATTTGATCCACCGATGAAGTTCGAGGGAAGCGCACAGGGACAAATGGCATGAAGAAAAAGAGGCTGACATGATACAAGAAAGAGAACAAAAATGCCAATAAAGCCAGGAGAGAACTGATGCTGGTGGATTTTGTTCGGAACGTCCTCATCTGCCTTTGGAATTCTAGCAATGAGATATGAAGGGCACCAGCCCCAAGCTGTGTCCCGTCTAGTCGAGTGATATTGACATTCAATGCCGTTGTCGCCTCCCATGTCTTTCTGACCGAGAAAGCCATCATAGGGTTGAGAAGTTTGTGTCCTTCTAGATAATACTCCAGGCCCTCGATTGAAAGGAGCTTCATGTGGTATGAAATGGTAGACTCGGCATCTCCCTCTCCTGTAAAAAAGTCCACTGTCCCCTGAACTATTTTGAGCGTAGTCCGAGATAGCACGTGGCAGGAGACTGTTCCGGTGCATATTCCTTGGTATCGTGAGGGAGATCCTAGAAATGTGAGTATTGTCCCACTTCATCATGTCTTTGATCTCAGACTCTTACCACTGTGGCAGATGTCTATAGTAATAAACATGCGCATTGCGCAGGATGAGCCTTTTCCTACACTCTCAGAGAGTGTAAAGCTCCCCAAACCAGACTTCACGCTTATATACCCGGATAAGGTCTCGGTAAACTGCCATCCGATGGATTGTGGCTTCTCTTCTATGCTCTCTTGATGACCCTGGCCATTGCGAGGCATTTGTGGCTTGCTGGAGATGTCTAGAGGGCCATTTTCAGTTTGATCAATAGTAAATCCAGACCTCTTGGCGATCAAGCTGACAGATCGCTCAGAGAGGGCAGATATTGTTGCCAGAGGGTTCACACCTATTATATCAGTATAAGATGATAATGATACAACAGGGGTCATAAATGTATAGACAGTGCCATGAAATATTGGACAGTTTCTATATGAAAGGCTCGAAACAATTTATACCGTTTCATGCATCGTTTTCACCTCTTTTTGCCCATTTTCGGGTGCCTCGGGGTGAGTAATTTAGATCATTTAAAGATGGGATGTGAAAGGACATATGACCCCTGTTGTAATCTTCAATTTGGCTTACCGAGAGCTGTTGGTATAATAGAGGCATCGCAGCACACGAGACCTTTGTATACTTCGTCATCAGGGCTAGTGAAGACCTCTCCTAGATGATTCGTTACACCTCCGTGCCCTGAGCCATCACTGCTCATATTGGCCCCTCCTAAAAGATGCACCGTGACTTCTTCTTGGTAATGGCCTGGACTCGAATGTTAGACCAGCCTTTGAGAGAGGTCGAGAGTGATAGAAGTATACCATAGAAATATGAAAATCCCATATCTGCCCGTGTGCGCGAAAACAATCCCCTTAAAACCCTCTTCATCTGTGCAAAATGCTCAGTTCGACCTTCTGCCGGTCCTCGCAAGCACAACTTATCATCTTTCAAGGTTAATGTGATCTCATTACTATCATGAGACATAACAAGATACGTTGAAGTTCGCTGGAGAGAACCACCACGTGCATAAGGACCGAGCAGAAGAGCCCTGATGGCAGCCAGAGACTTCGATATCCCCAACCTAGGATTCAAAAAGAACGACAATGCTTGTGACTTCACGGTCTGCATTGTCAGCATCACCAGGATGACCGGATTGAAGGTCTCAGGTATGCAACCATCCTGGATCACATATCCAGAAAGAGGATTGCTCGAAGAATCAACATCTCGGTTATCAATCACACAAGTGACTGTTGGACCAGGTGGATTTGAAGCTCGCGAAGAGTCACCAGCATTTCCATTGATATCGGCGCTTCCATTGTATCCTGTAGTCTCGATCAGCCATGGAATTTTATATTTGGCGGATAATGTACCGAATACCAACAGATCACCATTCCCGGAGAGGTTTCGTCCCACGAGAGGAGACATCTGCAAACCGTGTTGCCTTGACCGAAGCAGGATTTCCGTTGTACCTAACGCTCCCGCTCCGAGGAAACATAATTCCTTCTAAGTCGAACGAGCATGAGTATACGAAGTTTCGCTTTGTATGAATGGGTAGTACGTACTGCTTTCACCCAGAACAGTTGTTCTTTGATATGATTTGTGAAGACCGACCTCCCGCTCCCATGCCAGGCAAAGAAGACAATGTATCCTCCTCCCTCCATCTTCTCCACAAACCGCACCTCACATCCACAAAATATCTCAGTGCCCCAATTCCACGCATCAGCCAAATAACTGGTTGCCACAGTATTTTTTGACCCATCGTTGACGCCAGTACATTCATGCCCTGAACCTCGATTGGGGTGCATAAAAACACCAGCCTTGTTGCGGCCGCTGTGGAAAAATGTGGTAAGTGGTGCACGATAGAAATTTTGTTCTTCACCTAGCCATCGTGAATCGTCTCGCAGATGCTCTAGTTTGGCAGGGCTTGGGTATTCTTCTGGATATGTGGATGGTTGCAGCATTGATTCTGCGCGTGAATAATCTACGTCGATTAGTTATTAGACATATCTAATCACCCTATATGCGAAAAACATGGAATTAGATCTTACATTCATCAAGTCCGGACGGATCTTCTCCAATCTGTGATGGCCAGGGACTCATCCTTAATGTCCCTTCATCGGCCTTTAGAAAGACACCACAGTTGATCAAGGATGTTCCTCCAAGTCCTATATGATATGATTCCATCAGAATATACCGAGAGCTTGAATGACTGCAACTTGACACAACTTACCATGAGCAGCAAACGTATGTTGTCCATCACCAAGAAGCAACTGAAATAGTCGCGTAGGATCATCAGAAGAAAGCCATTTCGACACGAAGGCATTCTTCGTAGAATTTCCCGAGATATTCATATCCTTCACGCATTGGGAAAACGTCTGCGGAAATGAACCAGCTGTATCAAATTGTTAGATCAACAAGCTCAGTAAAATGGAATATAGTTGAAGAAGCACACATCTTCGTTCCCAACCAAGTTCCAACACAGCAACACTTTTCCCAGCACGACTTGCTGCCACGCCGGCTCCATATCCAGATCCTACGATCACAACATCATACTCCGATTTCATAGACTCAAATGGACGGCTCAGGATCGGGTAATCATCAGTCTTGGCATTTGAAGTTGACATTGTCTCCTCTCGGCGGTTATCGAATGCCATGGCTGTTCTAGGAGCTTCAAGCAAAGAACCAAAAGAACATCAGATCCCATACGACAAAAGGTAGCGGTAATCAGCCATAAGAAAAGTCCAGCCAAGAAAAGTTTACCATGTCAGCATCAAGAATAAAACATAGAAAAAAACGAAAACGGGATTAGTGGGTAAGTGAATAAGCCCTACTGCCAACGGACAGATACCTAATACGAGGCAACCATGCATGGTACCATATCCGTACAAAATCGACGGTTCCAATCGGATGCACGTCGAGGGGATATCCCAACATGATAATTGGATTTGTGTATCAACTGGTGGTGGCTATGTGCTGCAGGTAGGAGGCCTATAACTATAGGTTTGGATAGAAGAATAAACCCCCGATATGGAGGTGTGGTCCAATCATACATTGCATTTGTCAGAGTGTGACTATTTGTGCAGTTGGCGAGTCTAGTTGGGCATGTGACGCGGCAGGGAATTACTGTACTGGAATAACATTATCGTTATTGATTCGGTAGGATGGAAGTGAAGTCTGCAGCTTATAGGCGTGAGTAAGACGCGCGTACATGTAGACTTGACAGGGGATACCCCTGCTGTCTATATGGGTAACTGTTGGAGCATTTGCCTTATAGGGTCTACAGAAACTCTACGCAGTAAGAAATACAGCTATCGACTATATTCGGAAATGAATAGGGAGAGTAATCTATCCTTACGGTATACGGCTACTACAGTACTACTATGATCTAGACCAGACCAAAAGGTGGAAAAGGGAATATGCAAAGAATAAAATTGTCAGGCAATAGGGTGTAGTACAATACAGGTCATGGGAACCATTGATAAGAGCAGGAGAAGAACGAAAAGATTTGAGGGCAAAACAAAAGAAAAGGAGATAGGGCCAAACAATGGCCAGTAATCCTACAAGCAACCCTTGGAAATAAGCTAGATGCAAACATGCGAACTCCTTTCCTTCTCATCTTTCGTGTTTCTCTTTTCAACTTGCGTTTTGTGATTATGATTTCGATTTCGATTTCTTAATGGCCACCTGCCATAATGACGCCGTAGTAGCGTCGGCTCATTTCTGCTGTTTGGGCGATGCGGGCGTCGCCTGTTAGGGGAAGGCCGAGGAGTGTGGATGATTCGACGAACTGTGTGGAGGCGAGTGTTAGTCTGGGATTAAACAATTGAGATTAGATAGGGAAAAGCAACGAACCTGAACATCTTCGTGAGTAATCCAGCCAGTAACAGCGCGACTCATCTCCTTGAATGCGACGCGCTCTTCCAATCCTTCCATGCCAGATCCTTCAATGCGATCGCTCATAGCAACAAGGGCATTGACGAGGCGGTTGAGACGGGTTGCGTCGCGTCTACCGCTGGGAGCAGTGACCAGGCGCAGGAAATCTTCGTAGACACCACCACCGGAAGCCCAGCCGCGCATCTTACGCTCAGGCCCGTCACCGAAGCCAGAGACCAGAGTCTCGAGAGTGCGGTAGTCGCCTTCGATGATGGCGGAGGGAGCGACGATGCGGCAGAAAGTGGCATGGGCGTCGTTCCAGTGCTTGCCGCGGATGAGACAGTCGACTTCGCGTGCTGCGTCGCCGGTGTCGCGGGCGTAGAGGGCCTTGGCGACCCAGATCCAGGCCTCAGGGAGTTGGAGGTCTGAGACAAGGTAGTGCCATGTCGGGTCGACGGAGCCGTCGGCGGCGAGGGGCTCGGGGAGCTGGGCGGCGGAGCGGGCAAGAGTCTCTTGCACAGCGCGTTTGCGGTCGTTGGCTTGGGAAAGATGTAGAAGGACGAACAAGGCCTGAGTGAGATCTCCGCTTGCACTCAGTTCTGAAGCAAAGTCCCAGACGAGGTGGTCGGCCTGGTGCTGATTGACTGTGATGGCAGAGCTTTGTCCGACAGTCGCAGCGAGGACATGGTGAAGCTGGAAGGAGAGACGGTTCGAGAGTCGGTCACCGGAGAGAGTCTCAGGGAGGAGAGCAGCGGGGAATTCGATAGGCTGGGTCTTTAGCCCCTGGGTCGCAGAGTAGGCCTTGAGTAGAACCCAAAGCGGAGACTCACGACCAAGAGTATCAGAGCCAGGCTGGGGGACAGCGCGGGTACTAGCTTCGTGCGAGGGATGAGGGAAGGCCTGTTCCTGTCCGGTAGCCAGGTCCTCAAGGAACTTGGAAACAGCAGCCTCAATGGGCTCATCTTCAGTAGTGCAGTACCACAGGCGAAGACCAAAGGCCTGGAACCAGTCGAGATTGAAGCGCTCGGTGAAGCCGAAACTAGAGGCACGGTCCTCAAGGGCACCGCCGGTCTTGCCCTCACTGCGGAGAGCATTTCCAGCAACCAGTTCGTAGAGAGCTCGCACAGGCTCACTCATTTCCGAAAGCACATTGTTCTGGCGCCACATGTCAATCTGGTTTGCGATGTCGGTTTGGGAGGTAGCATCGCGGCCAATCTGTGCTACCACAGTAGCCAGGTGTGGGTTTTGACTCTCCACCAGTGTAGTACACGCTTCTTGAACCCGGTGAGCACACATCAAATGGACAGCGCGCTCGACAGGTGAGCGGATCATATCGAGGTTGGGGTTCTTCGCGCGGATGATGCCCTCCCAGAGACGAGTTAGACGATCCTTCTTGATACGATGGGCGAATTTTTGCTGAAGTTTTGGTGGGACACCAGCTGAAATGTCATCTTCGATATCGTCATTGAAAAGGATGTTGAGAAGCTGCCACATTAAGGTCTCATCCTCAGATTGAGAACGGCTGGAAGGAGACAGAGGGAACTGCCAAAGCTCGGGGCTGGCCATACGAACGAGAGGGGTGCCATCGACGCGTTGGATGGTGGATTGTTGTCTCTGGACTTCAAGCATTTCCTTCGACTATTTTGCGATCAGTGTCAACTCCGAATGAAAAGGGCAGAGAAGAGAAATGTAGACGAACCTCGCTAGTTTTATTGTAAGTCATAACCGCAACGTCCCCTCCTTCACTGAAAACAGTGAACTTTTCTTGCCAGGTCTGGGACACCTCCGAAATAGTTTCCTGCATGTCAGTCTTCCCGCAGACAAGAGAGTCCTGAGGACCCCAGCGCGGCTTGAAAGAGTCGTGGAAGGCAGCGTCGATCTCGGTCATTTGAGTTGCATCACCAGCGAAGGTTTTGGGTTGCTTGTTGTAGGGCCACTGTAGGAAAAAGGAGGAAATTTTAGCTCAGTTACTGTCACATTGAGTCAACTATCTGTGGGGTGAACGTTATCGTCCTAGATACATGATGAGAGGCAACAAAGGAAATGACAAAGGAAATAGCTATCAGCATGAACATAAGAAAGGAGTTCTAACCTCAATGCCTTTAGATTGTGTCTTGGCAGGCTTCAACGGAGACGGGGCGGCTCTCTTGCCCGGCTGTTGGAACAGAGAGTTCATCAAATCGATGCTGTTTGAGAAACCCTTCTTGGGAGAAGCCGTCGCAGTGTTTGTGAGAGAGTCGTCAACAAGGTTACGATCCATGAAGGCATTCGCCTGCATTTCACGCAACGCATCGCGGTTCTGCTTGCGAGGGCTGATGGTGCGCTGCAACTGCTCGGCCCAGTCGCCACTGAGATCAAGCTGAGGCTTAACAGGGCTGCCAAAGTGTCTCATAGGGTGAGTGGTCTCCATGGCACCGTTGGTACCCTGGTAGTGGTCCCGCTCCACGGTACGATGAGGAGTAGGAAAGGCACCAGCCATATCCATTTCATCTGCCTCATCTGATCCAACTACCGAATCGCCAGATTGTTGGCTTTCGGTGACGACGTCGTCGTCTTGCTCAGTAGTCGAACCCGTGGAGCCTTCCTCTAAAAAAGACTCAGTCTCGCCGTCGGAAAGCATGTCATCATCCTCCGCAGTCATGGCCTGGCTACCGAAAGAGCCGGGAACAATCTTGCGCTTCTTGAAGTCAAATGTATCATCGTCAACACCGACCATTGAACCAACGAAAGACTCATCGATCGAGAAAGTGGTGGACTGCTCGAAGCTCGCGGGGTGATCGGAGTGAGCCTTGGGAGTAGGATGGTCAGGGCCGGCGGCACTCATAGTGCTTTGGTCAAGACTCTCACCTTCCTCGTCCTCATCATAGTCAAGTCCGTAAGTAGTGAAGTGAGGAACCTTGAAGACCCAGGTGCCGGTCTCAGTCTCGTAGTTGATAAACTCAGTATCGCCGACCTTCTGGAGACGATCAATATGCTTATCGAAGAGGGGACCGCTGGTGACAGGGGAGTTGCTCTTCCTGTCTCTGCCACGGGGCCAGGAGTTCTCGATGCGCAGAGTAGAGGGCACGTTCAGTCCCTTGCCCATGGGAGGCTTGATGGACTCATCAGGGTAAACGGTAATCTTGCGAAGGCCGATGTTGACAATGTTATCGAACAAGTGATCCACGTCAGTGGTGCTCAAATCAACCTCGCCATTGAAAGTAACGGATCCGCAGTTCTGACGTCCGACAGTGAAGTCGACAACGTGCTTCAGCTGCTCGCGGCTCATCTTGCTAAGTGTAGCGCGGGAAGGCTCCATCCAGTACTCACCGGGCTTCGGGTCACCGCCAGGAATGAAGGTCAGGCGCTTGACAGTAGCACCGTTGGTGGTAGCTGGACCATTCTCAGGGACAATAGCGAGATCACGGCTGACAGACTCCATTTCAGGACGACCAGATGCATTGGCATCAACGCCGTTCAGACTACCGCTCTTGCGGACAGAGCGAAGGAAGCCGAGCTCCTCAGGAGTGGGCTCGGGGCTCTTGGGCTCAACGGGAACGACCTCGCCACCAGTGGGACCAGGAGAGGTGGAATCAAAGCTGACCTTCTTCTTCAACTTGTCTGAATCATCTCCGTTGGTGATGGGTGCAGCGTTGTTAGAAGGCTTTTCGAAGAGATCGGATCTCAGGTTGCGGTTGATAGTAAGGCGCTTCAAGCCGCTTCCACTGCGGGTGCTACTCGATTGCAACGCACCGGGAGAAAGGACACTGCTGGACTCCGGGTCAAAAGTGTTGCGAAGGTT